ACCTAACAATCCAACTACTCCTCTACACTAGCAAAGGCAGAGAGGCGACTTTAGCTTTCATTGCTAAAACTAGAGTAGGGACTAGAGGCTGGCATCTACGCCAAGAACAAGATAACTAAAAATAAGCGAGAACAGAGAGACACTACCTAAAACTAATAATAACTAACAAACTTTCTTAAGTTACTTTCCTTAGCCCTAAAAGAGCTCGCTGGAAGACAGCCCTGCTGTCTAACATCTCTTCCTGTTTACTAAACTGCTCTTCAGCAACTGGAGTCTGCTTTAAGCGCAGCTAGAAGCGACTAAACCGCAGCACAATAGCAGGACTATACAGAGAACACTCTCACTTTAAACAAATTGTACCTAGAACGGCCTCTGGCCAAAGTCTTACATAGTCACTGACTGCAGATAGACTCTAATGGAATGATAATAATAATAATAATAATAATAATAATAATAATAATAGGCTGTCCTTGCAGCTACGTCACCACGAACAGGTTTTAGTCCAATTCCAGAGAAGAATTCTTTTTTGGAAAGTTTATAAAATTATCATAGGTTCTATGCTTGTGGATACATGTCACAATAGGTATAGTAGCTTGCATTAGCTCATAAAAAACTTGACAAAAACTCAAGATGTATGGAATCATTTTAAGAAGCGTGCATTTCTATCTCTGTAGTCCTTTCGATCCTCTTGATCTGCTTCAGCGGCACATCACTATCCTCACTTCGCGATGTATTCAGTTCCCTCTTTCCACTTAGGATACTGTGCAGATAATGCGAATTTCGATTCCTTGATCGTCGGATATGAGTATGACCTGAATGACTTTCAGATGAATAAGACTGCCCTGGCGGATTGGTTCTAGCACTACGGTGTTTATCACCGAAGTAATACTGATACACGGAACGTGAGAGGGCAAGGTTAGTGGCTGTAATGCCAAGACATAATTCCGCCATGGCCCAAATTGTTACAATTGAGTATTCGTCTAAGTAGATTTGATTAGCAATGATTTATTGTAGCGTCTGGCTAATACATACAGACGATACCTATTGCCTTCAAATCTAGTGACTTGGCTCTGACAGCAGAACATGCGGTGCAAACCAAGCCCATAGCCATCAAGATCCAGATCGACATTTTTTCCCTCAAAGGTAACCGAATATTCCACGTGGCAGCAATCGGGAGCAAAGAGCAAATTAGATCTGTAAGGATGGATGTTCCTACAGATGCACTTAGCGTTTGCTCAAAACATAGCTGATACATGTCTTACCAGCCTGTACGCATATCGAGTAGACGCGTACTTCAGCCGGCCAACACGTTCCAGGGCCATGTCGCCAATTGAGACTGATGGGCTTACACTGAGCCAAGAGCACAATAATAACCTCGAGTGTAGACGTGACCAAGATGGCGATAACAATACCGGTGATCCATTTCATCCATGTCGATGGCTTGATACGAATGATGAGCAGAGAAACAGAAATCTTGACCAAAGCCATTGCTACAAACAGAATATGCTGTGCATACCAACTGTACATATTTATGAACTCCTGGTCGCTTTTAGAGAGAGCTGAGCTTGGTTTTCCTTTGCCTCTGGTAACAGCTTTGATTGCAAGTGCGGCTTCAACGATAGCGCAGATCGTGGCCACTGTAATGGCATAATCGTCCGCTCCGAATGCTCGACGCTGCTTACGAATCCATAGCCGTAGCGACGTTGTGAGAAATGCGATTGTTGTGAACAAGACCGAGACGGTGATCAGTGTTGGACCCTTGCCTTCCATGACTAGTGATTTGATACCAAGGCTGGGTAAACATAAGAGTATTCAAGAATAAAACTCAAACGGATGTGAGAGAGATAGATCTGAATGCCCTAGGGGGTATTTGATGGCAATGGCACATATATATCATGGCCATGCTATGCAAAGTCTGGGGTTCATTCTATTGGTCACATTACTATTTGAACTGTGCCGTATTTTTGCCATTGGCTGAAGTTTCGGGACGTCGAACAAATGTGCGAATCGCGCGACATGCGAGTAAAAGCTGCTGTGCCGTCTCACTGTTATACGCATGATGGGGTGAAACCTCTCTCCGCGGCACCAGCCAAGGCAGAAGCCACTTCTGATCTTTTTTTTTCGTATCGATGAAGCCTTTGCACACGTTTGGGCCCCATGGAGGCCGCCTCCTCAATCTTGCATGTTTGAGTGGATGAGCTGACGATTTGAATGCACTTGCAATCTGGGATATGTGACGAGAGGGCAGAGGCGCCCCACCAATTACTTTTCAGGGACACATGCATACAAGCGACCCCAGAATTAAGCGGAGCGAGGACTTGGCGGAGCGGCCAACGAACCAAGCTTGGTAGATGCGAAAGGGAGTCCACAATTGATAGCCGTGCCGCCTTGGCTACATTTAGCGGGGCCGGCTTTTGATGCTATCGGTTTCAATAAAGTGTTGACTGTCATGCCAAATGCTACCCATTAGTTGGCTGGAAGGGAGACTGGATCGCTTGAAATACATATTTCTGGTTGTGCCTTAAATATAGGTAAATTCCAAGTCGAAGCTCGGCTCCTGAGCGAAGGAGGGATTTCCATAAGCAGGAATGAGGTGTTTAGCATGCATATAGGCTAAAATGCTGTGCCTCAATTGTACATGTCTTGATCATCCTACAATCATCTTTGTTGGTTGCTCGCCGATGATAAGTGGATCCGTGTTAATCACAGGAATTGGTTTCTGCCGTAGTATATAAAGTCTCCAGCCCAAGGGGTTAGAGATTGATCTTTTTCCTCTTCGACAATTGATACGTTTTTCGCTAGTAATCGCATGCATCATTCCAAACAATGCACAGACAGCTACTCAAGTCCCAATTGTCTTGTGCGCTTTTCATCTTACCAGAACACTGCCAACAAAGCCATTTTCGTGACACAGTTAGATCTGACTGGTAATGATTTTGACTTCAGCCCTGGTCCTTGCTGCTGGTCTGGTTCTTGCATCCTCGAAAACCATACCAAAATGTCGGGCACACAATGGCGACTTTGATTTTGTATGTATTTCCGCAATCGCAATTCGATTTTTGAGTTAATTAATGAATATCTCCAGGTCATCATTGGCGGTGGCACAGCCGGTGCTGCATTAGCCGCTCGACTAAGTGAAGCCCTTCCAAGGCATTGCGTTCTGGTGGTTGAAGCCGGACCAGATGGACGTGGCGAAGAAAAAATCTATATCCCTGGCTTAAGGGGCTCAACTTTCGGCTCTGCATATGACTGGAGTCTTCCGACTGTGCCTCAGACTGCAGCAAACAATCGGACCATAGGCCATAACAGGGGTAAAGTACTTGGCGGCACATCTGCCCTCAATCTACTTGTCTGGAACCGCGCTACTGTCAAAGAGTATGATGCCTGGGAAGAGCTTGGTAATCCGGGTTGGGGATGGGGCAACATGTATCCAGCGATGCTCAAGACTGAAAACTTCCAGCGCCAGAACGGCTCACCGCAATATGGCGTGGAGGGTGTGGGCTACGGAGGTCCAATTCAAGTTGCTCTTACCGAGGACCCGCCACCTCAGCTTGAAGCCTGCATCCCGACTCTGAAGAACCTCGGCATCAAGGAAAACTTGGAGTCACTGAATGGAAATAACCTGGGTACCATGTATCAGCCAGCAACGTACCGTGTGTCGAATCACACGCGGTCTTACTCGGTGGACTATCTTTCCAAAACTGGAGAGAACTTAATGTTCCTATTCAACACGACTGTCCACAAAATCCAACTTGACAAGAAGGACTCCAAAGCAACCGGCATCATCCTTGCCGACGGCACATTTATCAAAGCTAGCAAGGAAGTCGTAGTTTCAGCTGGCAGTCTTCTTTCTCCGAAGTTGCTTGAACTCTCTGGTATTGGCCAGAAGGCCGTGCTAGAAAAGGCAGGCGTGGAGCAAATCGTTGATCTCCCCGGCGTAGGTGAAAATCTGCAGGATCACCTCCGTATCCAAACGACGTATGAACTCAAACCCGAGCTCCTTGGCGTGGATATCTTGAAATACAACACCACGCGAGCAGCGACAGAGTTGGAATTGTGGAAGCAGAACAAGACGTCATTGTATCAGTATGCCGGTAGCTGCTATGGATTTCTCAAATGGAAGCAAGTGCTCGGTAGCGATGAGAAGCTCCTCCAATTTGCGACGCTATCGGCCAATACATCCAATCCTATAGACCGGAAAAAGCTCGCTCTACTTACTGATCCTGACTCCGGAGCTCCCGACATTGAAGTAGTCTTTGGAGGCGGATACATCGGAACAACTGGGTACCCCAAAAATGGCACCGCTGGACACGGTAAACAATACGCAACGCTTCTTGCAGGAGTCCAGCATCCGCTCGCCAGGGGATCCGTCCACATCAACGGATCTGATCCCGCAGATAAACCTCTGATCAATCCAAGGTACCTAGGCACATCATACGATCTCGAAGCACTCATATCCGCAGCCAAGTACACGCGAAAAATGGCGAACACGGCACCGTTTAAGGATCTCTGGGTTTCCGAATTCGATCCTGGGATGAGCACGCAGACAGATTCAGAGTGGGAGACTTATATCCGAAACAACGTGTTTACTTTCTATCACCCGCTCGGTACGTGTGCGATGCTGCCAAAGAAGGACGGCGGTGTGGTGGACCCGCAGCTCAGGGTGTATGGTGTGAAGAATCTTAGGGTTGTGGATGCGAGCATTGTTCCGATGATCATCTCTGCGCATATCCAAACGGCTGTCTATGGAATTGCGGAGAGGGCGGCTGAAATGATAGCCGCAGAGTATCGGTGATGAAGATAAGTTGTAGGATCACCACTGCTGCTCTGGGTCATTAATCAGATGTTTACATATCACTGATGACATATTTCTGCCTCTATTTTTGCCAGTGCATTGAACAATGGCTTTGGTGTTTCCATATTGCGTATAGGAGGCAAGCTGGTATGATAAATTAGCTAGTCGGAGGCCAAAGCCTTGTGATGGATGGTGGCATCATAAAGGAAGCAAGGATACGGTAATCACAGCACTAAAAATGACTGTATTCAAGGCGACAAGGGAATGATGGGAAGGCCGCTATAGCTATGCAGTTGTTGGAGTTACTAGGAGTGAAAGTAGTGTTGGTATTCCGCCACAGCACTTGTTTAATTACGTACAGGCTGGCGTTACTACATAACAACTAGAAGTGCCCAAACGCCCAGCCCTACAACCAGATTGAATTTGGACATTGTAGTGTTCAATATGTTTCATGTGCACCTCACATGGGCGCTGACCGCTTGAATGGCTAAAACTAGTACCACTTAATTAGGCCTGCAGATACGCTGTCCTCCAGAGATTACACATGTTCCAGTACTTGCGGACGCAAGCTGTGTCCAACTTAGTGATCTATCCAAGGCGCTTAGCAGGAATACGTACAGTACAGGTAATGAGGCAGACGGCCCCAAGAGTAGGGCATCTATCAACACATTGTGCAGCAGAAATGCCAACCAAGCATAGCAGTGAAGCGGTAACAACGCCGAAGAATTGCATGGTGTATTGTTAAGGTAAAGCGTGTAAAGCTGGATTTGATTGGAATGAGTTGGAGGATGCAGGAGAGAATCTGATGAGTGAATGAATCAGACTTGAAGAGGAGAGACGTGCTTTATATACGTTATGAAGGAGTTACAATCGCCAAGTAGGTGTCACTACTAATACCGTATTTTAGAACCAATATATGCCACTTGATTGGATAGGTACTGGTATGCCGCTAGTAAAGCCAGACCTTGATTCTAAATGACACAGCTCGTAATTCTATAAGAAAGTCCATCAGAGTTTCTGGGTAGGATTAGTGCATGGCTGGGTGGGCAGCAATACGAGGCAATGTGCGCTAGTAGCGTATCTACCTACGGGTGGGTATCCGCTTACTAGTCGCTCACGTTTGTAGAATCGGCTCCTGAGAGCTGACCTACCCTAGTACAAACTTCAATTGTGCATGTGAAGCTCTAGTACCAGGATGAATTTCTACGTGTTCTATGGCCAAGAAACACGTGAACATCGAATGTACGCTATGTAGTAACGTGCCTTTACTGTAACATTATCACGAGGCTCACCTCACACCAAACCAAATCAAGACATCAAACAAGATCAGTTTTCATCAGATGTTAATGTGAATAAAAATACGGAATAGTGCCTCACAGCTTTAGCGATGCCTTCAGCGGCTACTGCGGAAGGCAGATATCTTCTTGTGTAGTAGTAGTAGTAGTAGTAGTAGTAGTAGTAGTAGTAGAGAGTTTTACAGCTAATCTGTTCTGGTCTCTTCACGTAGGAAAAGTCACTGGCGACAGATCATCGTATCAAAATGGAGCTGCACCCATTCGTTTCGATTCGACCATGATCATGTACAAACTCGGTTTCGGTTCCCCCCCTTCATCACAAACCCTTGCATTACCCCTTCCGACCAAACCGAGTGACTACATAATGCACATGCATCGCAAATCTGAGCCCCCATTAAACTCGCATGTCCTTGAAACAATCCTTCCGTGTGCCTCCAGCATGAAAGGTGGCTTGCACCCCGATGTCCAGCGCAGATCCCAGACACTCATGAAGTTCCGGATATCGAACCGTTCACCGTGTCATACCACACTATACCACACCATGTCCCACAAAAGCAAGAAGAAAAAAGAAAATGTTGTGTACCTACCCGGTCGATTCCGTCATCTCATTCCGAAGTGTTGAAAAACACATGGACTCAATGAGCACCCGCATCCGTGCGAGGTCGATCTGCTTATTCTCAAACCCAAAGTGTCAGCCAAACCACAAAAGCAAAATAGCAAATGTATATTACTTACTGCAGATGCGGCAGCAGTACGGCGAGTTGTGGGCGTAGCAGTAGCCGTGCTCGGAGTATCCAGCCGGGTACGCATGGCGATACGCCGGAGCCGGCACGGGAGCCTGGTACTGCGGAGCGTGGGCTACGTACACTGGAGCTTGGTGTCGTGCGCGAAACTGGGCAAGCATGTGCTGCTGGTGGTTGATGGCGGTGGTGATCATGGTGTTGTGTATGCCGAGCATGGCCTCGAGGTTGTCTGGCTCGACGTCGACCTTGCGCATCAGGAAAGCGTTATCAGCGTCTTGGTTGAGGGTGCGGAGGTTGCTGAGCTGCGCGACGAGTTCCTTGCGGCGGGCTCCGAGCTGCGCATTATGGTGCTCGAGCATCCGAATGCAGTCCGTCATCTCGTTCTGGGCGTGCTTGAGCTCGGCACTCTCTTGCTCGAGACGAGTGATGTACTCGCCTTGACGCAAGATACCGTCATCCAGGCGAGAAACACCCTTCTCGAGACGAAAGAGACGCGTACCCGTGCGAGAGGAATGGTCAGGTAGCTTGTGTTCCATCTGCTGGACAGGCTGGGTCTGGCTCGCGACACCCGTTGGGTGGCTCATGAGGGTGGGGACTGGCGCATCGCTTTGGATCAGCCTGAGGGCGTCTGCAAGATGCAAAGTCGGGCTCATGACTGGCCGTCTTGTGACTTTTGGTTTCTTCGTGAGATAGATTGACTTGTTGGGTTTCAGAGAAGTGCAAAGATCAGGTTGAGGAGCGCAATGGAAAATTGCTGAAGAGTTGGTGGCGGGCCGTATATAAGCAAACACTTGGTGGGGGGGGGGGGGTGAAAGCTTAAAGGATCCGTAGCGTATAGTCATGTGCCGCACTCACGGCGGATGAGATCTATGTGATTGGTGAATGGTGCAAACGGAGCGGTGATGGGATCCCTACGCGGACGCAATCTAGTTACACAAGGAGTTCACCATGGAGTGACTAAGCAGCCTTCACTCTGTCAGTTCACACTAACTTGGCCTTATCATTTCTCGGGTGGCCTATGAGGAGACGGACGAAGTGGATCATGGCTCCAGAATGTGATATCTGTTGTGGAAATCTCCTATCAGAGCATACTCTGAAATGAGATGAAAATGGAAGTGCAGGTTCTTGATAACAACTTGAAAATCAAGTATATTCGACCAATGAGTGCAGAACCATTTTCATCTGTATAGAATAGTAGATAAGTATTGACGATGGCAAACGATTATAAGTTATGTACCTCTCGATGGATATGCCAGTGACACAAACATTCGTGTCGCCAGTGTTGTGATGAGATTGAAAACTCCGAGCAGAGTCGACATCTCCACCCCGACAATCTACTCCAAAAAGAACGTCGTCAGACTCCTCGGCTTGACAGTCGCCACAAACCCCATTCCATTAATCTCATAGTTCCCAACCATCGTATTATTATGCTCATTATCAGCCAAGTACGCCGAACCCTTTGCAAACCCCTTCTCAGTCCCACCAAGGCTAATCTCCACCTGTCTCTCGAAATGCGCTTCGTTGATGACGGGAATCGCCACGGTGCCATTTACATTCTCGAACGCAGTTACTTTGAGGTTTTCAGCGGGACTGCGAGCATCGATGCGGATGGATCCCGGGCGCGCGAAGCGGAAGTATCCGGCAAAGGCCCAGAGACGACGGGATACTTCGAAGGTGTCGCCTTGAAGGCGGACAAGGATGGCATCGCTACCACTGGTATTGCCGGCGTTGTTTTGAGCGCACCACCAGTGCAAGTAGCCAGATGTGTCACTTAGAACAAACGCTTGGTGCCTTTCTTTGGTATCAGTATAGTCTTGTTGTTTTCCAAATGCCTTCTGGCTCACATATAGATGGCCCACTGGAGACCTTCAGCGAGCTGTCCCGTAGTGTCCCATGTGGTATTGAACGTGCCGCTTCCATCAGACCATTCGGTTTGCAAGTTTGGCTGGCCCTGCGTATTGAAAGGCATCTCGGGCATACTTTGATAGTTATGCCATGTAGCTACATCATAGAGCTTCCCACCGCCGGCTTGTTCCAACTCGTAAAGCAAAGTACGCTCTTGACGCGCACCTGTAGCATCGCAGCAAGTTACTTGAAGGTCGCTTCGATACTTTTTCACAGTGGGATATAAGACTTCTAAGAAGTCTTTGGCTTCATATCCATCCGAGTCTATGCTGGCATAAGTTACAGGATTGAAGTCTGGCTCGTTGTAGGCTCCAATCATGCTGATGTTTATGCCTTTTTCTTCATAAAACTTGACGTACTGCACGAGATAATCGGCGTAACCTTGGCGCCAGTCATGGGTGCAGTTGGATCCCCGTACACCACAGATGAGGCCGCCGTTTATGTCTGTGTCGTCGGTCTTGAAGCAGCCCGGCGCCGACCATGCATCGGCGTAGATTTGAAGCTTCGGCTTGGCTATCAGAGCTTGTTTGGTCAACTTCAGTTGGCAGCTATCGGCGGTTGCTTCATTGGCTCCTAGACCGCTATAATTGAATGGAGAAGACGGTGTCGCCGGACAACCACCAAGGATACCGTCCGTTGAGCTGGAACCGACGCGGTTTCGAAGGATAGAGAGACCTCCAACGTTCTCATTGAAGAGGTAGTCGCTGACTAATTGTTGGTTTGAAGACGAAAGACCCCTGGATCCAGTTTGATCGCATGCGACACCAAAGGCTCCAGAGCAGCCGCCGCCAATCATGGTCTGATGTCTGATACTAGCATCTACAGTAACTTTGACTGGCGGCTCGTTTTGAGTGTATGACCATGGCTGTGGAACCAGTTGAGCGGCCACACCACTCAATGCGACAAGAGGAAGAAAGATTGACATGGCGGTGGTTTTCCCCGGAAATAACGGATGCACTGAACAGACTGACATTATGTCCAGCTTATATATTTCTTCCATTTCCACAAGCCAAAAAACGCAGTGCAAAGCAAGGCGACTCGTGCATGACGACACGACAATTATTCGATGGTTCAATTTATCCTGGGGCTACCAGGGGTAGGATAAAGTAAAAAGAGGCGTCGTCCTGTTCAGGCCATTGCCCTGTGAAGTGTACGTAGGTAGTCGGTAATCGGACCTTAGCGATGTGTTAGCGCATCGCCTTGGACCAAGCGGTTGGGGAAGATGGGCTCAGGCGGGGCAGAAGTCAAGCTTTCTTCAGGGTGATTAGCGGGAATCAGCAGGAAATAAGCCTTGAGCGGCTATTCATCCATGCTTCTACACACATTAGCCGGCCAAGTTCTACCAATTGCCACTTATCAGAGCAATCGGTTGCTCCGATGTTCCGACCCAGGGACATGGAAGGTTTATACTCTGTGCTACAGTGCCCGTGCACCAGATGAGCACCATCGCCAGTTGAGCACCCC